TTTTAATCAACCCCAGCCACGCCCATAGCGATGGCAGGTTTTCAGCTACAAGGTCAGAGACCACACAGCTCTCAAAGCCTAAAAGATTTACTCTCTGGCATTTTAAGAAACTTTGCTGATTCTTGGCCTAAATCACACGTAACTGCTACGTGAGCATTAACATTTTCTTGCTGGCTCTTGTTCCTCTCACAAGCTTAAGGGCTCAGACCTCTCTCCCTACATCCCCTTCAGCTTCTGCTGGAAGAGGGCGAAAAGCCTCCACCTGACTTTGCTCTCAGCTGCATCCTTCAAGGCTTCAACCTCTCGATACGCCTTCCTGTGCCAGCCGCTCTCAGCTGTGCTGGACCCTCTGTCCATTAGGAGACAGACTCGCTGCAGATAGCCAGAAAATGTGGATCAGTAGGGCTGGTCACCATTTCTTAGAATTTTGAGAATTAAAAGTGTCCAGGCGGTGGTGGCGCACGCCTTTAATCCCAGCACTCTGGAGGCAGAGGCAGGCGGATCTCTGAGTTCGAGGCCGGCCTGGGCTACAGAGAGAGATCCAGGAAAGGCACCCAAACTACAGAGAAACCCTGTCTCGAAAAACCAAAACAAAAAGTGGATATGAGAACCTGTACAGCAGCTGGTCCTCAAGTGTTCCTTTTCTCACCTACACCCCCACAACGCTGCAAGAAAAGAGAAAGGAAAAAAGGAAAAGCTACTCAGGAAGCTCACTGTGTAGGGGAGGCAGCCCGAACTTAGAGAATTAGTTTCCTCCCCTCAAAAGAGAAACGGCCAAACTCCATTCCTGGGACGGTATCCGGGTGAGCTGTCTATGACTTAACAGGCTTCAAACACCTTTAAAGATCCGTGTAGAGGCACACACCTGGAAGTCCCAGCAGGAAGCTGAGGCAAGGGGATCACCTTGAGTTCGTGGCCAGCGAGGCCAGCCAGTTAAGAGCGAGATCGTATCCTGTCCCATCATGTATGTGTATGTTTATATGTTGCTGAAATAAACTGTAACTGTTAAACTGTGACACTTTGAGGCCCATGTCTCAAGTCTAAATAGCAGGTGACTGAGGACCAGCTAGATGGCAAGTGTCCCCGCCCCCAATCACAAAGCCATGTCAGGTAGCAGGGGAGGGTCCCCAAAGCTGTAGTACTCTAGCCCCAATAGGCATGCTGTGGCATAGACCCACACCAATAAAAATAGCGGATAACCAAATGATTAAGCCACAAGTACCAAATTCCAGCTTGTCTTGATTATTGGCCACTGCGTGGATCAGCCCAATGGTACCACAGGAGTTGCCGATGGTCTGCTTCATGAAGTACACTTTAGGACTCACTTCCTGTCCCTTCAGTTCCTCGATTTGTTTTTTCCTGAAGTTCTCATGCTGTGAATGGAGGGAAAGGGTGGTTTGGGTTTTTTTTTTTCTTTTTTCATCTCAAAATGCAAATGCATACGGCAGCCCAACCAGTTCTAACGAGACGCCCAGTGGGATACGTGACCAGGAGCAGGGGCCACGGTTCTAGATGCTGCCTGATGACCAGAGACCAGCCTGTCTCCCTCCCACACCCAAGCAGGCCAGAGGGCTCCACCCTGATGCTGCAGTGCAGACAACAGCCTTGGATGCTGCCCAAGGCTGTCTAGACGCCATGGCAACCTTTAGCTGGCGATGGGGTAGCATGAAATCCGGGAAGAGCTCCGCTCAGGGTTTTCTTCCTACCACAGGAACAATGACTGTATTTCATACAGGTGTCCCAATCAACCTTTGATCAACACCCAGTGGCAACGCCAGCTGGTGTCTGTTTCTCTATTCTTTACCTGCCCTGTTTGTGCCGAGAGTCGACGTCTTTAAACAAGCTTTAACCGTTGAAAGGGACAAGAACTTCCTTTCCTGTGTGTTTTGTTTTAGAAAGACATTGATACAAGAAACGGACTATGATTGATTTCAAAAAACAAACAAAACTGAAAACCTTTTCACCTTGTAAGAGGAAGTCAAGGCACAATACAGCAGTCTAAGCAGAGGACAGTAGCAACGGTCTGGAGAGACTCTGCTGTGTGAACGGGATTTCCCCAAGTCATTGCCCGCTTCTTGAACAATGACTCAGGAGACCGTCTAGTCCTCTCACTAGTGAGTTCAGAAGAAGTGAGGACTTGCCAGTTAAGGGAGGTGCTACTGCCATGGAACTGCCTACGGCCCACGGCCAGCAGGACACGCACAGCGCATCGGCCAGCATGGCTCCGATTCTAGCAGCCTTGTGTTGACGGTTCATGGAAACGAAGTGTGCGTTTACGCTGTGGCTCTAGAACGGGAGGAAGACGGTCTGTCCCACGAGATGAACTGAAACTCCACTCAGGAGGCTCTGGCATCCCACTTACTGTTAAGGGTTTTCACACCTCTGAAGGCTAATTGGCAACAACTGTATAACAGACTGGCCACCCTTTAGTTATCTGGGCTCTTGCATGGAGAGATTTCTGTAACCATCCCACTGACACAAAAATCAATGAAGATGTCCATGTTGGGCTTCCCAACATAACCCGAGTCAGGACTGATGTTTCCTAAAGTAGTTAGTGGATGGAAGTCAAACCAAGTTTCATTTTCCATTAAAAATTCTTCAGTGTTTTACCCATTATATATGCAGACTAGGTACCCAATACATGGAGCAGACTGGGATGCCGCTGAAGGGCAAAACAGCAGCCAGACAAGCTGGAATGTTCTCTAAAAAGGTCCACTGGAGCTTGCAAAATGAGACCAGGGAGCAGCTGAAAGCAAACAGGCTGCTGCACTGCCTCCCAGAGGCCTTGCCTGAGCGCTGCTCAAAACCCCCAAGTCATCATGGCTCCCGGAAAGAACAGCTTCAGGGACGGCTCAAGTGGAGGCGAGCCGGCGAGCCGAGACGGCTTCCGTGCAGTCCTGGAAGCCAACCTGACATGCTGTGGTTGCAATAAAAGCTTCGGCTATAAAACATGTCACTGAGATCTTCCAAACTCCACGGCTGAACTCCTAATAGACCATTTGCTAGGAGGAAGGCCTAGACCTTCCCATGCAGCTTAGTTTTGGCAGAGGATGGTTCTAGAACACCTGCCCTTAGGATGGTATTTAATTAACCTCATCATTTAATTAACATTTAGAGTAATGCCAGGCATGCTAAAGCCTCCCAGTGTTGTCCATTCCATCCCCTCCTAAATGTGTGGGCCACTGAGAGCAACAAGGGACAGACGATGCCATGATTTATGGGGACTCTAGACACTGCAAGACAACACATAGCCTACTGCTTTGTTTTTATAGCTGATGCTCAGTCCTTTGAGTCACGTGCATCCCCAAACACTGGAAGACGGAAGACCGTTTCAGAAAATGAAAAGCGTGTTTCCATTGACTGTGCTAAAGACCCATCCAGCCACAAGGTCAGAGAGGTAGAGGCAGCTGCTGAAAAGATTCTGTGCGCCAGTGATTCAGCTTTAAAAATCAGGTTCAAGAGTGTGCCTGCTGTGGGGTGGGGGTGGGAGGGGCGCGGGGAGGAGAAGAGACCCGAACCCACCAGAAAAGCAGAGGGAGGTGGTAAATGAAGAGAACCTTTTGATTTAAAAAACCCTTTGAAGAGAGCAAGCCAAGCCCTCTTCAATTTACAGCTAGGTGGGAGTCTGAGGGAACCAAACAGTGACCTTACAAGGAAACCACAGCCATCCCCCCAAAGGAAAGCAAAGCTCAGAAAAATAAAGGAACCAAGCCGAGTAGGAGTTCTTTCTCCGGGTAACTGGAAAAATAGACGGGATCAGTAGGCTCCCTCTCTTGCAAATTTAAGGCAAACAGCCAATAATGGCCATTACAACGGGGGCGCCAATGAATAGGTACCACGAAAACGCAGGCACCTCCCATTCTAGGAGGTGGAATCCTCATTCCCCACTGTACAGGAGGGAGGGACAGCGTGGGTTAAGAGCGCATCCCATAGCACCGCGCATCCATCATCCGAGACCCGCCCATCACGGACCTCACCCTACCTGGGCCGTGAGGGGAAACAGCAGCAGCAGCGCGCAGGCAGGGGATGGCACGGAGCCCAGAGTCTCCTCCTCCAGCCCTAGGACGTCCGCGAAGCGCCACTGGCCGGCGACCCCCAGCCTGGCCAACACCTGCAGAGATGAGACGGGGCAGCCAGACCCAAAGGGCCAGACGAGTGATGGGGCCCTGCTAGGGGGCGGGGTCAGCACGCGCATCCCGCCCCCCCCGCACCCTTCCCCCCACCCCGCCACAGGTTCCCCACCCGAGTCTGGGAGGAGTCTCCGCGGCGTCCCACCCTCCGCGCCGCGCAGTGACACAGCACAAAGCTCGGCCCACACGTGGCTCCCGCGAAGCCCTCGGACTGGAGTCCCCGCCGCTTGGCAGTCGCCACGCCCTCGAGAGCCGTTCCCCCGCACTCGCTCCTGTCCTGTCCCGGTGCATCCTCCACCACCTCCCTGTGATCGCTCTCTCAGTCACCCACCCACCCCCACCCCTAAATAACTCAGGGCCGAAAAGACATCCAGCAGGGCGCCCCAGCCCGGCCATCTCCATTGCGCAGGGCGCGGCCGGCTGGGCGTCTCCGACGATGCTCCCAGGGGAGAGGGACAGAGGCTGCGCACCATGCCACTCACTTTGTTCAGCATCTGAAAGGCAAATGCAAAAAATAAAATAAAATAAAATAAAAAAAGGGAAAAAGATAATAAAGCGAGCTGATTCGGCTATCTGGCCGGAGCTAAAGCCCGGCGCTGCGTTCCCATGGCGGCCCAGCAGCGGCGCTTACCTCGGGATTAATCTCCATCGGCTTCAGCTGCATCTTGGCGGACCACAGGAACAACCACCACCCTAAGCAGCCGAAAAAACAGCCGGCGGAGCCGCCCAGGCTGCACCTATAAAGCGATGGCCCGACGCACTGGGGAAGCCTAAGCAGGGGAGTCAGGGGCAGAACCAAGGCGAGGAAGATGGCCAACCGCCCTAGAACCCCCCCATGCACCGCACAGAGTGGTACAGCCGAGCCCCCAAACCTTGCCGTCTCACTCGCCGGTGAGATAATCTGTGGTTGTGGAGATGGTTTTTGTTGGTGGGTGTTACTTGAGCGCATGGAGCAGCCTTTTTGATGGAGCTTTTAATTCGGGGCGAAATTTCTGGAAACCCATCCTCAATCACTCCAAAGTTCGAGTGTCTCTGAAGCGTTGAGAAAAAGCACAAAATCAACAGGTATATATTAGATATATAGATATTTAATATGAATATAAATATTTGTCCGTCCCCTCCCATCTCGGAACAGTTTGTACTTAACCTCCGACAATTTGTCCTCCATGTTAAGTCGAACCTGTGCCCAGGCTCTTTTTTTTTTTTTTTTTTAAATGGACTGCCTAGAATAAAACATCTGATATGTAGCCGATAGGGCATTAGTGAGGCTGATGTAATGTGACTCCTGGGGAAGAACCGGTGGGTCTTGGGGAAGCGGTACAAGCAGGGACTGGTCATAGACACAGCGAATACAGATGGTGGAACACTTTAGAAGAGATCAAAGAAAAGATGGGCGATTTTGAGACAAGAGGCTTAAAGGGAAAAGCGTTTTTTTAAAAAAAATTTTATTATTTTTTAACGGGAAAGGCCTTGTTCAAAGAACAGAGGCTTGGAATAATGAGATTCTGGTCTGCAATGTTTTCAGCCAAGAAGAAAGGGGCTTGCAAATAAGGGAACCACGGTTCTGTAGTGATCTGTATGTGGGATGTGTTCTTTCCAATAGGCACATTCAAGAGACGCAAGGAAAAAGCTTATGCTGACGGAGGGACCAGATTTGCATCAATTGTCAGGAAAGCTAAACCCCAGAATGAGGTGGCTGAGGACGCTTCAGAACAAATGCTCAGAGAACAGACATGCGTTTCAGAGGCCGAGGTCAGCAGGGGCTGGGCAGGATGCAGGGAACCAGCATTGTTTTTACAGTGCCGTCTCCCTGGTTGGATCCTTGACTCTGGCCATCTTATTTCATCCCGAGAGGGTCCAACGAAGCTGCTGCATTAGTGAAATTTTATAAATCAGGATCCGGTGCTTAGAAATGTTAATTTGCTTGGTGTCACAGTTGGAAAGGCAGGCTGGCAAACAAGCCCTGGAGAACAGGGCTGGCAGGGCCCATTCTCTCTGAGGGTTCAGCAATGTGCTACTTCGATTTTCTTCCCATTTTCACTATCAGAAAAAAAAATGACCTTCACGTACCAAGAAGACATTAGTCAGGTCCTAATGAGTGAATGTTATGCTATGTAAATTACATCTCAATGAAGTTGCTAAATAAAAAAGCTTCAAGACAGGTGAACATAATCCAAAACACCTGGTTACACTGGCTGCTGTTTGTCTTTTGACAGAGACAAACGACATTTCCAGCTCTCATTATTCCTTCATTCCACAAATATTGCTTAAGCACTTACCACTGCTGGTCCCTGAGCTTGTGGACGCTAAGGTGAATCCAGAACCAAATACAGAAACTTCCTCAGGCAGCATTCATCAATGATATAGTGTGGAAGGAACACCTAACTCAGTGGAGGGAATTAAAAAGCCGTGGCAGGAAGTTGCATTTAAGCTAAGGCTGATGAATAGGCAGAAGTCAACAGTGGACAGTTATTGCCAAAATAGCTGGTTAGAGCACCATATACATCATGACCCAGAAGTGTCTGTGGGAGGTACTCAATTATTCACTCAACACACAAATGTGTGTGTGTGTGTGTGTGTGTGTGTGTGTGTGTATGTATACATATGTATGGTCTATCAGATGCCAGGAAGCCTGGGAACAATAAACAACTCTTTACTTCTAAGGAGAGCAGACACAGATCTATCTTGTCCTGATCTTTAAAAAGTGGGAGATGAGCCCAGCGGCGGTGGTGGCGCACGCCTTTAATCCCAGCACTTGGGAGGCAGAGCCAGGCAGATCTCCTTGAGTTCGAGGCCAGCCTGGGCTACCAGCCAGGGCTACCTGAGTTCCAGGAAAGGCGCAAAGCTACACAGAGAAACCCTGTCTCGAAAAACCAAAAAAAAAAAAAAAGTGGGAGATGAGTGATTGGCAATATTGAAATCGCAGGGCAAGACGTTTCATACGATCTCAGCCAGATTCTAGGACTCACGACTTGTAACTTGTAGAAAAGAATAGGACGATGCATGTAGAATGGGCTTTGCTGGCTGATACTTGGCTTCTCCTTTGACATTAAGGCTAGCTGGCCAGGCAGGCTGAGGTGGAGGGGGTTTTACAGTTCAGTACTGTTGTTTTTTTTAAGAGCAGAGTTAGAGAGGACACACCTGCGACTGAGTCTCAACCATCCAGATGTCAGAATTACTTAGAAAAATAAGCCTGAAATAAAAAGGTGGGGCTGATAGGGACCCCAGGATGGTTGCACAGCTTTGTGAGTGTATTAATGTACATACCAAGGATGTGTATGAAGCTCTACATGGCCATTATAGTGCTGTTGATCTGCATCGGAATTCTCTCTCCCCTGCAATTCTACGGCTACGAAATTGTGAGTTATGGAAAATGTCAAATGAAAACAAATCACAACATTTTGATGATAACTATTGAAAGTTAAATACACGAGGTGAGTGTGGTAATGCTAGTTCTTGTGAGGCTGAGCCAGGAGCATGATAAACATAAGGCGAGCCTGGCTGCATAGGAAGTTCAAAGCCAGCCTGAGACACTTACTTAGCAAGATCCTGTTGCATACCCATACCATAAGTTAATTAAATTTAATACATAAAAGTCATAAGGAAAAACGGTTTTGAAAAAGCAGTTAAACATGAATTCAGGAGACTAGTATGTGAAAAAGGGAGCAAAAAGAAAACAATTTTTAAGCCAGGGTCTCGATGTATAGCTCTGGTTGGCTTGAAACACACTCTGTAGCCCAGGCTGGCCTTGCACTTATGAGATCCACCTGCCTCTGCCTTCCAAGTGCTGGGATTAAAGACAAGTGGCACCATGCCCAGCTTCAGATACTTTAAGCATCATAATTTGAGTGTAAAGCTAATTCGGTCTTTGTCTCTAGCAGAAGCAAGAAGTTCAATTTAATTTCGATCATAGTGAGTTCCCAGCACACGGCCTTCAGAAGGTTTTTCAGTCCCTTGCGGGGCGGGGATGCTATGATTGATTACTGATGTCTGCTGTGCTACTTAGTTTTATGTCAGCTTGGCACAAGCTAGCTAACTGGAGAAGGGGGAGCCTCAGTTGAGAAAGTGCCTCCGTAAGACCTGGCTGTGGGACATTTTCTTAATGAGTGATTGATGCGGGAGGGCCCAGTTCATTGTGTGGGTGGTGCCATCCCTGGGCTGGTGGTCCTGGGGTTCTATAAGAAAGCAGGCTGAGCAAGCCAGAGGAAGCAAGCCAGTAAGCAGCACCCTCCATGGCCTCCGCATCAGCTCCTGCCTCCTGGTTCCTGCCCTGCTTGAGTTCCTGTCCTGACTTCCTTCAGTGATGAACAGTGATGTGGTACCATAAACCAGATATTTTCTCCCCAAGTTGCTTTGGTCATGTTTCAGCACAGCAATCGTAAACCTAATAAGGTTATCTGCCAAAAGCATAAGACAGCAAATACTTGCTGTCACTTGACTAGATTTATATTATATTCATGATCTGTTTCATAAGGGAAGGAAATTCCACCAACTGAATTGACCAGCTTATAACTGTTATAGGTATTAGTACCCGACGTATAATAAACACTCAATAAAAACTTCCCAGCTGAAGGAGTTGGAGAGATGGCCCAGCAGTTAAGAGCACTGGGTGCTCTTCCAGAGGCCCTGAGTTCAATTCCCAGCAACCACATGGTGGCTCACAACTATAACGAGATCTGGTGCCCACTTCTGGTATATAGGCAGAACACTATATATGTAATAAATAAATACGTCTTGGAAAAAAAATTCCCTGATGAAAACTGTGAAGATTCCCCTTCGAGGGAGACCTTGAAAGGGCTTCAGTACTTTCTGCTCTTGCAGAGAACCAGAGTTCAGTTCCCAACATCCACATCAGAATCCCACAACCACCTACAGCTCCAGGGCACCCAATGCTTTCTTCTGGCCTCCATGGGCATATGAGTGTGTGAGTGTGTTTTTAAAAAGAGAAAGAGACCTTGAGATCTTTCCAAGACAGAAAGCTAAAATAATGTGCAGAATGGTTGACAACATAGTGTATGATGCGGAGATCAAAGAAATTTGGTTTTGTTTTACAGAAGAAAGGAATTATATGATTCCTACGTGGAGAGAATAAACTTTAGGTTGATTAAGAAGCCAAATGTGATGGGAATTTAGTTAAAGGTATTTTGTTCTCAGTTGTAACAATCTTTAACAACATATTGGGGCACAGCGGACATATAAAATCCACTCGGGTGAGAGAGAGTACAGCAGCACTTCCTAGTGGAGTTTCACCATGTGTAAGTGTCACCGCGGTCCAATGCTAAAATAGTTTCTTTGTTGCAAAAGTTATCACATTTTTGAAATTAATTTCCTTCCCCTGTCAGCCTGCCACTGATGTATGCTGGCTCTGTAGATAGTTCATATACATGGAATCATGCAATATATATCTTTACAGTCGACCTTCTTTTATCTAGCCTGTTTCTGAGGTTTGTTAGTATACCCCAGAAGTCAGTTCTTTTTATATTGCTGACAAGTGTTCTGTTCTGTAGATGCATCATATCTTATTTCCCATTCACTATAGGATGGATGCTTGCTTTGCTTCTGGGTTTGGGTTACCCTGGCACACATTTTTGTGAAATTTGAACATTTCTGTATAAATCATTATGTGGGCAATTATTTTCATCCCTCACTCACTTCTAGAAGTGGAAATGTTAGATTGACTAGGAACTGCTTAACTTTTTAAATGTTTATTTTATTTTAAAGTTTATATTATTTGTAACCTTTTAATGCACGACAAGCTGGATTTGGCATTGCATGCCTGTGTTACCAGGACTTGGAATGCTGAGACAAGAAGATGATGAGTTCAGGGATACCCTGAGCTGCATAGTGAATGCCAGATTGTTTTCCCAAGTGCCCATACTATTTTATATCTCTACCTCCTGTTGTCAATCTTGACTATGACCTTTATGACACATCTAAAATGGAACCTCTCTGTTACTCTGTAAAAATGGAATCTCTGTTACTCCGTTCGCAGTTCCCTGATGACTAAGAGGTGGCTTCCCTTCATGCTGTTTCCTAGTTGCTTAAGAATCTTCTTTTTTGGTGAAATGTCTACTCAAATCCATGCCCCTTTTTAAAATGAGTTTTTAAAAGATCTTATTAATACTTTGTAAAGGCTCTTTATATATTCTGGATACTGTTTATATCAGACCTAAGACTTGCAAATATTTTCTCCTGGCCTGTGAGTTTATTTTAATTGCCCATGCGCTAATTTTTAAGAGTTCACTTTGATGAGGTCCACATTCATTTATGGGTCATCTAAGAAATCTTTGCCTAATCCAAGGTGACAGGAATTTCCCCCTGCATTTTCTTTAAGAAGTCTTCAATTTTATGTTTCAGTCTTCAGTGCATTTTAGGTAAAAGTAAAGATTTGTTTTCTTTTTTGCATATGTGTATTCAATTTTCCCAGAGCATTTGTTAAAAAGATACGTTACTGGGGTTGGAGGGATAGCTCAGCAGTTAAGAGCACTGGCTGCTCTTCCAGAGGACTTGGGTTCAATTCCCAGCACTCACATGGCAGCTCCCAGCTCCCTGTAACTCGAAGATTTGACACCTCCACACAAACATACATGCAGGCAAAACACCAATGCACATAAAATAAAAATAAATGAACTTAAAAAGAGAAAAAGATATGTTACCTAGTTAATTACCTTGGCAACTCAGTCCAAGCTCTCGTGAGCAGGACTGGAGTGTAGTTAAGGAAGAGCTCTTGATCAGCTTGTGTGAAGCCCTAA